ATCCAGTTTTGCTGCGCTTGCACGGGCGCAGAAATTTTGGCGGGACAATGGACGTGTTCTTCAAGGTGGAGCTTGGTACAGGGAGCTCTGCGAGGCCATGTACAGCCTAGGATTCCGACGCAGTCCTGGGGGTTTCGAAGTACTTGAGGGGCGATCCATCTGTTGGCCTTGGAGGCCTGCCATGGGTCCATTTGAGTCGTGGCTTCAGCGGTCTTTGCATGTTTTCAGGGAGGCTTGGCGCTCCTCGCGGTTCAGCAGCTTCCTTGAGAAGGACAGGAGGGACAGCACGCATCTCCTGGGACAGGTGCGATACAGTGAGCGGATCCTCTGCAAGGCTCGCAAGCTTTATGCCTGGGGCACACAGTCAGTGAGGGCTTGTGTGGTGGGTGCAGGATTTTCTACTTGCTGCTATGCCAAGATGAAGGGATTGCCTGTTCCGAGAGCTTGTCCGTGGTGCCTTCGTAGACAGGTCCCTAATTGGGATCACCTTTTGTGGGAGTGCGATGCATTTGCCAGAAACAGACCCCCTGTGCCGGCTGGCGAGCTTCTTTGCAGACGTTTAGGATGGCCTCGTGAGGACACATCCTGCACACAAGATGAGCTTGTTCTTGAACATTTTGCCTTTGTCAGGGAAACGTGCAGGGCAGCAGACGGTTTCCGTCATGCCCCTACTGAGGAGTGAGTGCTATTCTGGCTTCAGGTGGGCCCGGCCTTCTTATGGCCATCAGGTATTGCCGGCTGGTTCGTCTTTGAGGCGGCCCGTCATTGAAATTCTATCCAGATGACCTTTCCCATTATCGCAACCGCCGTAATTTCGCGCGGTGGTGGAGCGCGTCCGCTTCTCTGCCTATGCCATCTTCATTGTTGTGTGGGTTTTGGCGGTGTGTGTCCCGCAGTGCCACTGGATCTGGGGCGGCGGGCTGGATCGCCGAGATGGGCGCCAAGGACATCATCTGAAGCTACGCAGTAGGTGATTGGCGTGGCAAGTCAGGGTTGCCAGTGTGCTTCACACAGCTGCGTGATGGAGACGGCTTTGCTATTGTGTATCACTGTGTCCAGGCTTGTTGTCTCTTAGTTGTATGGTTGGTTGGTGTCGGCCTCCTGTCCCGGCCGAACTTCGCTCGTGCTTCCCTCATTGGGCCAAGTGAATGACTATATTTGGACCAAGAGGCGTAGGGATGCGTGAAACCTTGTCAAGAACCTTCTCGTCGGTGGGGCTCCGTGTTTGGGCTCTCTCCTCGTCAGTCCACTGATTAGCATGTTGATGGGCCAGCTTGGCGCGATTTTGGCACTGTCTTTTGTTTTGTCAGTGCGTGGACGCCTTGCGTGGCGTAAAGGTCAGGCGAACAAACCTCTGCGCAGGCAGAGCGCCTCTACACAAGCGCTCACCTCGAAGCCCTTCGCTGATGCGAATAGGTTGTGTACCTAGGCCTGTGAGGCTGGCCGGCTGTCAAGTCGTATCAGGTGTGAAGAAGCACTTTTTCCAATCCTTGTGGTTGAGTGGTCTGTGCTACTGCCTCTGCCCTACACTTGCAGATTGCCCAGCTAAGTCCTGCTTTGGCAGACCACACGCAGCAACTGCGGCAACTTAAGGCCTCATGTTGTCGCAACACTAGGCCGGTAAGAGGCCCCAAGTCAGACCTCGGGTTGTTCAAGCGGCCCCAACAGGAAGTTCACCCAGTGGAGCCCTGCTTCATTTCCAGCTGAAGCTTTGTTTCTCAAATGGAGGTCATGAGCCACCGTCAGACAATCAGTTGCGTACTGCTTTGTTAGCACTCCTCGCCAAGGGGCTTGACGTGGCCCCAAGTTCGGGCAACAATCCTGCCAAACATAACGCCCCGGCGCCCGCCGCCTCCGTTCTGCCTCTGGATTCCCCCTCCAAAACTTTTTGGGCTAGCGGCTAGTGCTGTCTCTTTCGCCTTCAAGGTTTTGAAGCTCCGTGCCAATGCACCTTCTTCATTGTATGGTCCTGCCTCTAAGGCTCCAGTCATCAAAGCTTCTGCCATTGAACCGCGTTCGTTCCATGAGAAATGCGTGCTTGCATGCGTCTCGCACGAGGAGAGCTGAGCACTGAGGAGTACCAGCGCGTGAAAGACAGGCTACAGTCTACAGAGGTCCAAACTCGCTTGACCACCATCACCCTGTCCAAGGATGGCAAGAACACTGTCCAAGTGCGTGGCCCTGCCGGGTCCGTCCCTCGCAAAGCCGATATCGAAACAGTAGGTGCCGATGCCCCCCTGCCGATTAAGCCCCCTACGCAGTTCAAAGACGATTCGCTTGCTGTGCCGTCCAAGTTTTTTGTACCGACCTACGCTTGCCAAGGAGTTGCCGGGATAGTGTGTTTCGTGACTGCCAATCCCCGTTTCCTGCTTGCCATGTTGTTAGGGGACCTGCGGAAATGGTGTTGCAGATTCGTGGCGCCTTGGCATACAATACCGAAGTGAAGGTGCTTGATCAAGGTTTCCCAAAGGCTGCTCTGTTGCAAGCTCAGCTCCCTACCGGGGCCTTCATCTCCCCACACGGGATTATATAATTCCATCCCGCAATGGATTCCCCGCGAGCAGGGTCAAAACGCTGCTTCCTATTACGCTAAAGCTCATACCCTCGCATTTCCCTCCAACAAGCGGGTAATTCACACACCTTCTGCTTTTGTTTGGGGAGCATCAGTGACAAGTCAGCCGTTGGAAATGTGCCCCCAGTTGGTTCCTCACCGGCGCGCCCCCTTGTTGGGGCGAAGATGAACTTGCGCAATGGGCTAAGGGACGTGGTTTCCTTGATGTCTGTGCTGTCCGCCGGCATGGACGCCGCACTTGGCTCTTCGGAGCCCATCCTCCTGAGGGAGTTGACCTTTCTCAGTGTGCCTATTCATTTGTTTCGGGTGTTTCCGTTAGCGTGGCCAAATCCCGAAGTTAACAAAACACCTTGCGCCCAAAGCTGCCCCTCGCGCCACTTAGGGGGCGCGCTGCCCCAGGCAGCCACGTGCCGAGCCTGAGTCTCAGGAGGAGTCAGCTGAGCCGGCCGCTACTGTAATGGACGTTGATGCTGAGGAATGGAAAGGTCCCGCTGCCTCTGTTGCTGTGGAGGACCACAAGCATGCGCGAAGTCCTGACCTTAAGTCTACCAAACGTCCCAACAAGAAACTCGTTGGAGGAGAAACCTCTCTTTGAGGAGCACTTCCAAACTATTGAAAACGAAGAAAAGGGCGATTGCGCCTTTATTGCCATTGTTCAGGCAATGTCCATCAATTCTAAAGCCCCAACTGCGACTATTGTGCTCCAAGGAGCTGGCAAAGGCTCCTGAAGGCACCTACACTGTAATTGCTGCTGAGTCCACCAGTCTCTCCAACCAAGTTTTGCAAGCAGGCTTTTCAGCCGACGGCGTTTCCTTGGCCAGCCTGGCTGAAGCTACTCATCATGAATTCCGCATTTGGGCCTGGTGCTCAGAAAAGAAACGTTGGAGGTTTTTACCTTGTCTCCCCCAAGGCCAACAAGAAGCAGTCACCTGGCCTCGTGTGGCTCAAACTACACAAGGAGCCCTACGAATGCCTGGTGCCTAAAGAGCTCCCCAAAGGCACCTCGCCTAATTTCACCAGTAAACCTAAGTGTCAGCGCAGTGCCATATCCATCCTTGAACTCACACCTGCCTCCTCAAGCCGCGTCGCTTCGCCAAGTGGGGCCGCAGTGCTGCAAACACGTCTGCCTCTCAAGGTTCTAAAGCTTGTAAAGGTTCTAGGGATCTTAGCGCCTGCCTGCTCCTTGGTTGAGGAAAATCCCCTAGTTCCTCAAGTAGGGCTGTTTCCCCAAAGAGTGTTGCGCGCAGCACTGCCCGCAAGCCTGCTATTGAAACTTTTTCCCGTAAGAACCGCGCATAACCGCACTTTTGACCCTTTTTGCCCATGCGCCTGCCCTTGTGGCTGGATGCTACTGGAAGATGGTGTTGGTTGCAAAAAGAAGATCCGTGAGGTCGCAAAGAAGCATTGGATGCAGTGCCAGGGGTGTGATGCCCTTGGCCCCTGCCCCTCTTTCCCAATACCGGGCCAGCAAGAAGCAAAAGGCATCGGCTATTGCATTTAAAAATGTTGCCGCCGCAAATGCTGCCCAGCGATTCCGTGAGCTTCTCACGTCCACTCGTGCTAAGAAGCCAAGCGTTGCCAATGCCATGTGTGATCCTGACCTTGACGCGCCTGCCCGCCAAGAGGGCAGCCGAAGTATTCTCTACCCTTGCATACCCTTGCAGGCACTGCGGCCGCAGCCTCTGTTTGTCCCAATACATGATTCTCCCTTGCCCTTCGCACGCAGGCCGCAAAGTCATGCAGCATCATGCAGCTTGTCTTTAACTGCCTTTTACGGCAGGAAGCGCACCAAAACGTGGCAGACCATAAAGAAAGCATCGCCTTTCCAGTCTGCCGGAGCTAAGCGGCAGCGGTACCACACTGTTCGCAAACACAAGAGACGCAAGCAGGAGTGACTAGCCACTCCCGCTTGCAACCCCGATCCGGTGGGGCTCGCCCTGCCCAGCTTCTGGTCCTCTCCGTAATACTAAACCTCGCCTTACCGCAATTCTCAACCAAGCCTTGTTTTGGAAAGCTCACATCATTTGCCTCCGAGAAACTTGGCATTTTCCTGGGGGTTTCCCTTTTGCCTCGTGCTTGGCTGCTGCGCAGGATTGGGGCATCCAGTGTTGCTCCTGCCGCCGGTCTCGATGCTATCAACAACCGCTTGCCTGGTGGCGCTGCTGTTCTCTGGCTTCGCAGTTTGGCCCGAGGTCAGGTTGTTCCTTGCCCGGACTCCCGCGTTTGTGCATGCTCTTGGCACTTTTTGATACTTTCAGCTCTGTGTGTGGCCCTGCCAGCCACGCTGATGTGCCTTGGTTTGCTAAAGTGCTTGAGTTGCTTGAGCCTTTCCACGCCCCTGTGTTGGTAGTCGCGCCTTCAATTGGCGCCCGGCTTATCAAAGGTTTATGCCTTCTGCTTGGGCCTGTTCCAGGCATGTCCCTACCACTGTTGAGGGTGCTGCCGGGCGCGCCAGACCCTTCCGCCCCTTGTGAGGTGTGCCCTTTGCCTAGGCCGCCAGAAAGCGTGTGGGACCCGTTTCAGGTTGCGTCTCAATCCATGGTCCGGTGGCGGCCGCGCGCAAACGGCGTTCCAAACTGAAACAATCTACATCAAATTTTGGAGCCCGTCAGGAGGAGCTAGCTTCAGCCGACCCTGCGGGCTTCCTGTCAGTTTTCGTGGAAGGGTCAGGTCTGCAAGCTTACTTTGGAGGGCCCGACGCGACGGAGGGCGACGTCCCAGGAGTGCCAAAAGCAAGCTTCCCCACTTAGGGCTGCCTTCCAAGCATTTGAGTTGCTGTTGGATCGCATGAAAGATAACCTCCTTCGTGCTGGCGACTACAAATCCTCTTGCGTTGCCACCATCAACGTTAATGGGCTGGCAAACACTTCCCTGGCACTTCCTGCGATTATTGACTCGCAGCCCTATGCTGCTGCTTTTTTCTTTCAGGAGGTTGGCGGTTCGGACTTCGAGACCCGCAAACTCCAAGCAGATGTTGATGGTCTTGGCTATTGATTAAGGCCTGATGGAGTGGATTGCCAATCCTCCTGGACGAGACAACAGATCTTGTGGTGGTGTTTTTTGGCGGTCCGTCGGGACACTCATGTCTGTTGTGTTGGCACGTCTGCAGAGGGCGGGCTTGTGTTTGTTGACTTTGGCAGCTTTGGCAGCTTCGTGATTGCAGGCCTGTGGAAGCGACCCTCTCATGTTGCTGAAAGGGGTATCACTGACAAGTTCACAAGCTCACTGAGTCCTATGTCTCTGCCGAAAGACAGGGCAAGTTCTGGGTTGCGGTTGGGGATTGGAGCCAAGTCCGGATGTGAATCCTTTTGCGTAAGCCGGGGCACGCACCCTGACGGCCGTGGACGGTGACGCCTATATCCCCACGCGTTGGGAAGGACGTGCCATTGACTACAGTGTTGTTCCGGCAAACGAAGATGGTCGGCGGTGTCTTGCAGGTGCAGTTAAGGGAGGAAAAGCTTAAGGATCGTAAGCTGGTGTGGCTTCGCTTTCCATTCCTAGCTCAGCGCTCTGATGGCCGCATTTTGGTGCCGACCCGCTCTCTCAGCAGCTACAGCGGAGCAGATTGACAGCGAGTCAAAGGCCATGCCTACCGACACCAGATCTTGAATCGATTGCCACGAAAAAACAGTTGGTGCCTCTCCTGGTCTGCTGTGTTGATGGGTGTTCTGAAACCTCGGGTGTATGTGACCTTGTCCATCAGTCGTCCACATGTCACAATGTTTATGACACATTCTTCATGTTTGTTACCCATGTCTGTAGATGCGTGGTGTTCACCGTTGAATCACCTTTTGCATTCTTGTTTCTTAGTTGTATGGTGGGTTGGTGTAGGCCTCACTAAGGTCATGAATGCAGACGTGTTCTTCAATTTCGCTTATGAAAATTTTGTCCCACCCACCCATCCCCTAATATCTTATTCGATTGATAGGTGTGGGTTGGTTTTGCGTGGACCTTAAGACGATTGTTTCTACAATTCGTGGGTGTTCTAGATCCCCCCTGAGGTGTACGTGACCTTGTCCATCATTCGTCCAACATGTCACAATGTTTATGACACGTTCCTCATGTTTGTTACCCAGCTTCTGTAGACGCGTGGTGTTCGCCGTTGATGCACCTTCTGCATTTGTAATATATTTTTGTAACCTTCCAAAGTACACACAAGCTAGGACTTTGCTGGTGGCACCGTGGTGCATATCAGCTCCGGCACCTCCGCCTTGGCGCTAGCATCCTTGCTGGGTGAGCGCAAACACCGTGCCGAGTCCTTCCCCTCGAACCTGCCCTTCGTCATCCTGGGAGGAGGTATCCTGTGGCTTGGCTGGACCGGCTTCAACGGCGGATCCGCCTTCGCCGCGAATGGTGACTGTGCGCTGGCTGTTGCAACTACCTACGTGGCAGCCGCTGCGGCGATGGCTGCTGGGCTATCAGTGGCATGAAATCATGCGGTCGTTTGATGCGAGGGCCCTCCTCTTGCACTAAGGTCATGTGGGTCACAGTCGAGCGCATCCTGGATGGAGCCCCCACGTCCATCGGTGCCATGTCAGGTGCAGTCGCCGGACTTGTGGTTCGTCAAGCATTCAGGTCATTTAGATTCAGGCCTTAGCAAAGGAGCCCCCCAAACTCAAATTAACTAGCAGGATGTGAGAGTTTTGCTTGGCGTAACAAGGTGAACATCACACCGTGCGCCGGCTTCGTGGAGCCCT